ATGAGATCGTAGACTTTTCCATATAATATGAATAAAAATAAGTGAACAAAAATGAGAAAAAAAATAGTGAGAAAAATAAAAATGAGAGAAAATAAAAAAAATAAAAAGAAAAGAGAGATAAAGGCGTGATCATGGGATCATAGAAGGATGAGTGAGAAAAAGAAAAAGTAAGAGAAAGAAGCGGGAAAATAAAAAATGTACATATAGGATATTTTTTGAAAAATATATCTCAGCCGTTGTTTTATAATTTGAATATATCTGAGCCATCCAGATGTCCTAACAGGACAAATGTGTATAGGACAAATTCAAAAATCATTCTGCTTTATTATATAGATGTTATGATGTTATCATTTTAAAATTATATATCCCATTTATTATATAAATTATGAAAATTTAAAATTTTTAAAATTATATTATATCATTTATTATTAATTGATATATCAATTAATATGTATAATTTTATTCTAAATGATAATGCCACTGCCGACTCAAGTTTAAAAACACCGCGGGACCCACAAACCGCAATTGCTGACGGGCCATGGAACTGCTGACTCAAGTTTTACTCACAAATTTAAGATGTAAAAATTGGTTAGCGGGGTTTTCAGGGCCAAGTAGACGAAACCGAACTCTCCTGCACACACACAAAGACATAAAGATGACGATGGTGATTTTTAATTTTATTTTAGATACATCAGAATTTTCGATGGTGATTTGATTTTAATAACTTTGCCATATGCAGGCAATAGTTCTAGGGTATACTGTTTGAGCAGAAGTTGCCAATTACCCATCATCAAAAAGCAAATAAATAAATAATTATGTTATGATACCAAATATACAGTTAGTTACCTTGCCATGAATTGTTTTGGAATTAGTTTGTCATAAATTAATTTTAAAATGGGATAGATAGATCTATTTTTTTTTTTTAATTTCATAGTTAATATAGATTTTGTTTTCAAAAAACATATATATTTTTTTTATAAGAAAGGAGGAGAATCCCACCAATCTAAAGGTACTATTTGATCCGTTTCTATGATCCGGATTATTCATTTTATTAGACACTTTGTGTATTTTATTTATACAAAAAATTAAATCTATTCACTAAATATAACATATTCAATTTATTATGTTTTTAACCAAATCCAATACATGAAAGCCATATAGAGAAGGGTATGGTGGTAAGCCTTTGGACCTGATTTGAAGCCTACTTAGAGTAGAGAGAGAACACTTTGAACTTAGTTTGAACCCCATATAAATGATGAGCAATGCTAGGTATCATGAAAAAAGTTTCATGAAAATAATCATGAAAGTTTTATGACCTTTGGATTACACTTAAAATAAAGTACCACACACTAATCAAGGTAATCCAAAGGTCACAAATTTTTCATGATCATTTTTATGAAAAAAATTTCATGACCCCTAACTTTTCTCATAAATGATAGATTTGTGTGACCATAAATGGTAGTGCTGCTGGTGAAGGAATAACAATAGAGATGGAGAGAGAAACTTTCCCTGACGATTTCAAGAAATATGTGGACACTGAACTCAACTCGATGCCAGTGAAGTGGGCTGGCACAGTCGTTGGAGGGGTTTACTGGAGCCGAGGAAACGACGAACCCCAACGTCCTCGGCCGACTGTTCCTGCCGGTGGGCGACTTCTGTCTTTTTTATCTCCTTCATTTATTTATTTTTCACCTTCGAATACATTTTGTTATTAATGCATTAATTTTTAAGTCAATACAAATTATGTGGTTTTGAAATCAGTTTTCCCTTCTAGAATTCGTTTGTTATTTATCAGATATTAATTGGGAGTTGAAAAAGAAGATCAGAGATGCGCTTTACGGGATTTTACAGAATTGGCTTGATTATGCGATACTAGTTCAATTTTGGGCACCATAACGGAAGAGGGGCAGTCTTTTGTTACAACTCAAAACCAACCTTTCGCTCTAGTATCAGCTTATGTTTTTCAATTTATTCAATCCTTACTTTCTGATCCACCTGATCAAGAAAAAGTTTTTGATCCACTTGATGTTTCGAGACTTTGTCAGTATAGGATGATATCTAAAGATTATAAATTTGACGTGGATTTAAATGGGAAGAGTTCAGAAGAATGCTTAGGGCTTCCCGGCCGAGTGTTCAAGCATCAATTGCTCGAATCCACTCCCAATGTGGAGTGTTACTCGATCAAAGAGTATTCACAGCCCGACAATGCTCTACGTTGCAGAGTTAAACAATCTTTGGCTTTCCCGGTATTTGAACCTTCTACCCAAAGATGTGCTGGTGTACTTGAGGTAGTGACACAAACGGTACGGTCCACGTATTCATGTCTACTTTGGAGCTATGGCAAAGAAATATATGAAAAATTTGAGGTTAGTCCCCCACTCACTCACAAACAATTGGCATTTTCAATGTCTTGTTAATATTGATTACTCATTAATCTCTCTCTCTCTCTCTCTCTCTCAGAGTATATGCAGTGGAGTGTTTGTGTAAGAAGTTTAGTGGGTTTGCCGGTTAAAGAACAAAATAATGGTCTAATTGAAGTGTTAAACAATTTGTTAATACCATCACATGTTAATTTTCTTGTTGAAGGAGGGGCCGTGCTGTGAGTGTGTGGGTTCGTATCCCGAACTTATTTTAATAAGAAAAAATATTAGAATATTTATGAAAAAAATTTAAATTAATTGAACATTCCTAATCCTATAACAAAAATACATTTATATTTGAAAAATATAAATGATTAGCACCCGTTTCTGTTAAGGCTTGTTGGGATCGTTTGGTCCATTTTATATTTAGTTCCACATTTCAAATGTTGCTACATCACACTCTAAGGAAAAATTATTTGGTGCTCTTGGAACATCACGTGGTGATACTCTTCATTAATCACAAATTTTCATGCCCTTTTATATCTCCAATCACCTAACATAAAATCGTAAATCATACCTCCTCTACCAATCACAATATCTTTGAGCACCACCTGGTGATGCCCTATAACCAACTAATAACTTCTCCTCCCCAAGATGTAGCCTTTTTGCACAGGACTGTATGGCCTGCAACACTTGAGTTCGGATCCTCTACTTGATATCACGGTGGTGTTTCCTGCTGGGGAATGGCTTAGATTGAGTCACGTCGCCCACTAACTCATGTACGGCTAAGATCTATTCATTAAAATTAAAAAAATTCTCCCGTTTCCCGTTTTCTTTTCTCCCTTTCAAACGTTTCAAAGCTGAGGGCGACGGTGAACAGAGAGACGAAGAGGAGGGCGAACAGAACCATATTTCTTCATCTGAGGGGCTGCCTCCATTTCTCTTCTCTCTTCTCCCCTGTGTCCTCTCTCTCCCCCCAATTCTCTCTCTTCAAATACTTTTCTTTCTGTGTCTCTTGCTGTTGTTGTTGGTAGTGGTGGTAACATGAGTTCAAGGCCTTGCATTTCAGACAATATCCGCTGCTCAACCGTCTTTATCTCCTGAGAATCTTGTGACATTGCATGCTTTATCTCTCTCTCTCTCTCAAACTCTGGAGCTCTGTTTTTCTCTGTCTGGAATTGTTTTTTTTTTTTTTTTTAACACTCCAGTTTTGTTTTGATTGAATTCAATTGAACATGTCTTGGAGGGAAAGAAAGGCAGAGGCTTTTGGGTCTTGCAATCTTACCTTAATTGGAGGATTTATATCTTCATCTAGTTTACAATCTTATCTAATTGATCTAAGTGAACCAAATACAGCCGAAGGCCTCGTTTGGGAACTGTCTCTTTTAGTTTAAAAGTTAAAAAGTTATTAAAAAAATCAAAAAACCAACAACTTATATCAAAAAGCTAAAGATTCTTTTTTCTCTCTATTTTTTGCACATCTTTTTCGTAAAAAGCAAAAAAATATCCCAAACATACTAATTTTTTTAGCTCATATTTTAGCCAAATAGTCAAAAAATTACTAAATTAGTCTATTCCCAAACGAGGCCTCAATATCTAAAATTATTTTAAAATTTTTATTGCATATATTTTCATATTGAATATATAAAATAATATTTAAGATTTGAACATATTTTTTTATAGTTTAGTTTTAAGTCAATTTTAAATCAATAATGTTACCTGGTTTTGAAATCAATTCTCTCCTGAAATTTGTTTGTTATTTTATATCAGATATAAACATCAGAATCAGATATTTGCTTTACGGAACTGTTAGGCTTATGGTACGAAACTAGTTCAGTTTTGGGCACCCGTAACAAAAGAGGGGCAATTTTTTTTCTTACAACTCGAAACCAACCTTTTGTTTTAATGTGTGTCGATGATGACGAACTTGATTTTAAAAGACTTTGTAGGCATAGGATGATATGTATGGATTATAATTTGACATTGATTTGGATGGGGAGACTTCTAAACAACACCTTGGGCTTCTTGGCCGAGTATTCAAGCATCAATTCCCCGAATCCACTCCCAATGTGGAGTTTTACTCTATCACTGAGTATCCACAGCGTAACCATGCTATAGATTGCCTAGTTGGAGAATCTTTGGCATTTCCAGTGTTTGAACCTTCTACCCAAAGGTGTGTTGGTGTATTTGAGGTAGTGGACATTAGAGCATCTCCAATGCTTAACCAAATTTTTCACCAAATTTGAGTTAAAAGAAGTCAATTTTCTCAATTGGATACCACTGGCTCCAACGGTGAGCATCAAAAGGGGGAGGGGCGACCGGTTGGTCGACCAGCTGGTCTATCGGTAAGAACATTATTATTATTATTTTTTGGTTTGCCTCCATTTTTGTTCCCAATTCTTTTCCTATTTCTTTTTCCCTCTATTACATATATGTCGTTTTGGTTTACCTCTAACAATGATTTGCTTCTAAAATCTCATATAAACACATTATCCATGTGCTAGACAACTTAGGACAACTGATACGATCATAGCTGAAACAAAACAGAGCATAATGAATACTTTCAAATCCATGATATTGACTTCATTTTCATCATCTTCTTCTTCCTCCTCCTCTGATGATGAGTCTGACGATGAATATATGGTCACACTTTTAGGGGCTTATGAGAAGAATAATGCTAGTATGTTTCAGATTCTTAAGTCAAGGGATAGCTTAAAGAAAATAGGTGGTTCTGTTGTAGGCCATAAGTATATACGCAGAGATAGAAGGCAGGGTCATGACAGATTGTTTGCAGATTATTTTGCTGTAAATCCAGTGTATTCACCTACAATATTTCGAAGACGTTTTCGAATGCGTCGTCCTTTGTATCTGCGAATTTTGAATGCAATCCAAGCACGCAATTCATATTTTGTTCAAAAACAAGATGCAGCTCATGTAGTTGGATTATCTCCCCTACAAAAAATGACTTCAGCGATGAGAATATTGTCATATGGTGTCGCAGCAGATGCAGTTGATAATTACATACGTATCGGGGAAAGCACTGCAATTTAAAGTTTGCAACAATTTTGTAATTCAGTGATTGAAATCTTTGGACTAGAATATCTGAGATCTCCGACACCAACTGACATTGCTAGATTACTTGCTATTGGGGAGGTTCAGGGGTTTCCGGGTATGTTGAGAAGTTTAGATTGCATGCATTGGGAGTGGACAAATTGTCTAAAGGCATGGCAAGGTCAATACGTAGGCCATCAAAAAAGTCAACCATTATTCTTGAAGCAGTAGCATCTTATGACTTACGGATTTGGCATGCATTTTTTGGAATGCCTGGCTTACACAATGACTTGAATGTGTTGGACCGATCGCCTTTGTTTTCTGATCTTGCGCAAGGTAAAGCTCCCCCTGTCCATTACACTATTAATGGACATAGTTACGATATGTGTTATTACCTTGTTGATGGTATATACCCTCAATGGGCAACGCTGGTTCAAACAATTTCTTCTCCCCAAGGAGCAAAGAGACAACATTTTGCAATGATGCAAGAGTCTGTCAGGAAAGATGTAGAGCGGGCATTCGGAGTCCTTCAATCTCGATTCGCAATAATAGGTGGTGCTGTACATTTTCGAGATCCGAAAATGCTTGTCAACATAATGAAGAGTTGCATTATATTACATAATATGATTGTCGAAGATGAGAGGGAGGAGCACCTTGATTTCGATTATGAAATTTCATCAACCAACACACCAGTGCAACTTTCCTCTACTCCTACCAATGACTTCCAATCATTTTTGTCTCGTCATTTAGGTATTAGAGATAAGGATGCATATCATGCCCTCCGTAATGATTTAGTAGAACATATGTGGCATCTTCATGGTGAAAACTAAATTCACCACATCATTACATGTAATTTTGTTTATAGTTTTGGAATTAAAGGTTGTCTTGTTTGTAATCTGCATTATGATGCACTATATTAACCAAGTAGTTCAGAAGTTATGTGATGATGTCCTGTTGTGATGATCCAATCTTTAATATTTAGAATTGTTCTGTGTTCAATTCATGAGAATTACAAATGATAATAATCATGTCTTAATCAAATTTTACAAATGATAATACCACATAAATTTAATAATCATGTTTTAAATTCTGTGTTCAATTCAGTATTGATGTGCCAGAAATGATAATACCACATCCATTTATGCACATTTAATAATCATGTCTTAAATGATAATTTCATAATCATGTCTTAAATTCATTCAATTTAGTATTCTGTGTTCAATTCAGTAATGATAATACCACAAATGATAATACCACATATTTATATGAACATGTCTTAGTCAGTTACAAATGATAATACCACTTAAATTTCTTCACAATTCATATTTATTGAAGAAACCACATGATTTTATTCAATATACGAATTTATTAGTATGCATTATTTGTGCCATTCATTTATTGATGCCATGCATTATTGATGTTGATGTTGCCATTCAATTATTGTCTCAGTTGAAATGCATTCAACCTACAGAGGTGCCATACGTTTCAACCACCTACCATTCATTTTACACACACCACCTACCATTCATTGAATTCATTCCATCTACATGTCTCATTTTACACACACCAGGGTTCATTGAAATTATTCAACCAATTTAGTTGAGTATTAATTCCCTCCACCACCTACCTCAATAATTCACCCTCTATATTAGCTCAAAATTGTATACAAACCTGGCATCGCCAAATTCACTCTATTCACTGAAGACCTCTACCCACAGATTGCCTCTACAAGAACACATTCACTGTATTCCCTCCACCACCACCTTCAAATTCAGCTTAACCAAATTCTATTCCCAAACTCTGCATATTCACTATCTTGCAAGTGTGAATCCACAGAATCAGCAAGGCAAACCATCTGAATCAACAAAGTCAACATCAGTAGGAACAGGAAGGCAGCATCAAAACAGAGTAGGCTACATCGCACGGGTCAACCGGTTGGTCAACCGGCCCTTCCTTTTTCTTTTTCTTTTTTTGCCTTTCAGTGTGCATGCTTTATTTGTTCAACTTTAACCTTCTCAAGAGCATAAAATTCATGTTTTAATCAAACTACATTCATGTTCAATATTTTAAAACTTAACTTCTGTCATACAGAACACATTCACTGCCATATGATGATTTTTACTTGATGTTATTTTTCCACTTCAGTATGCACTTCTGAACAACAAACACTGCATAACATGAAGTAAAAATTAATGTGCCATTAAGCATACACCAATTAGTATGCAATTCAGTATAAAAATGACATGAAGTAAAAACACTTTAATAAGCATTCTAATATTAAAACACTATAATATAAAAATTAATGTGTCATTCTAAGCATACACCAATTACTGCATAACATGAAGTAAAAACACTGCATGAAAATGCTTTCCATTTCAGTATGCACTTTATTAGTATGCATTTTCCATTAGTATGCAAAACCAATTAATACACCAATTAGTATGCACTTTAGTATAAAAATGACATGAAGTAAAAACACTTTAATATGCATTCTAATATTAAAACAGTTTAATATAAAAATTAATGTGCCATTCTAAGCATACACCAATTACTGCATAACATGAAGTAAAAAGACTGCATAAAAATGCTTTCCATTTCAGTATGCACTTTATTAGTATGCATTTTTTATTACTATGCAAAACCAATTAGTTTGCATTTTAATTAATGTGCCATTAAGCATACTAAATGTTTTCATGTTTTTCCATTTTAATATGCATTCTAATATTAAAACTATATTCATTTGAATTCTAAGTTCATGTTTTCATTAAGCATATTAAAATGCAGTTTTATTAAAATGCAGCATAACAGCAGAAACACTGCATATTTATATTCAGCATAACACCAGAACAACAACAAGGCAACTGTAATGCAGCTTTCATATGTAACACATTTTCATTAAAATTCAACATATATTGACATCATGCCTAGAACTAAAAGAGCGAGACCACAAGTTGGTGAAAGTTCTAACCCTCCATGACGCCAAGAACAGCAGCCTCAAAATCAGTCATATCCTACTGAGGATTTTCTCAGTGAAAGTCATGAACTAGCCTTTCCAAACTTCTCCAGCCGATCTATTTTAACAGGGAGGAGGGTAAATCTGCCAACTCAATATGATGCACTATTAGTTAGTAAACTTGAAGCAATGGGATGGCTAAATTTAATTAATTTACCCCAAAAGGTATATCCACGGCTGGTATCTTTATTTTATGTTCACCTAAGAGGTACTCAGGAAAAAGATGGAAATTTTACTCTTTTGTCATATGTGAAAGGAAAGGGTATACAGTTTGATATTCCTACTTTGGCAAGCATTATTGGAGTTGAGGTAGGTGATGAAAATATCCATTTTCAGAGTGAGGCTGAGTTAGCTAATATTGTTGGTAATGCTATTGATGTATATACTACTATTTGTGAGAACAGATTTATTGGGACTAGTCTACAAGCAAGACATTTAAAACCTTATCTTCGGATTCTCCACCGGTGGATTGTAGAAAATGTCACTCCAAAAAAGGACATCATAATGCGGTCCTATATTTTAATGCCTATTTGCTATACTGTTTTGAAGTTGGCCATAATTTAGATTTGTGTTACATATTATGAAAGAAATGATGTTCGCAAATCAAGCTCAATTCACGGGTCGGTCATTACTGTTTGGGGCACTCTTGACAAAAATTTTCAAACATTTTAGGGTTCACCTTGTAGATAAAATGGAGATCAAAATCCGTTCACCCATTAATCAATACACAGTGAACTATGTTGGTGCAGCCTCCAATTTAATGGGAAGTGTTAATGCTCCAGAAGATTCAGAAGATGAAGTCCCACCAGATGATGCTCCAGAAGATCCTCCTGCCAATGTGATGCCATCAACTGAACAACCTCAATATTGGGCTGAGTTTTTAGCCACGGAAGAACAACATTATAATCAACTCGTTCAATGGGAACATCAGATGGCTAATCAGGTCAATTCATTGGGTACTCAGTTTGATACATTTGCCACTGTGCAAAACTCATTAATTGAACAATTTGGTGAGTTCTGTGTGGACATTGAAAGACATCATGAAGTGGCAAACAATTGCATAGATAGGATTGAGCATCGCGTAAATGACATATACCTTCACTACTTCCCTCCTCCACCACCACCACCAGATAATGACTGTTGATGTGTTAGACATTATGTATTTGCATTGTTTTGTATTTTGTTATTTTAACAACCTTTTGTTGGGTCAATTTCTTAAAGAGGACGAGGTTAATTAAAACCTATTCACTTATGACATTGGCCTATTCAGTTATTATCACTTAATATTGTAGTTTTTCATTTTAATGCCTATTTGACAAAGGACATGATTATGTACATTCTGAAAATGCTACAAAAGGGTCATTATTCAATTATGATTTTCTGGTATAGATCATGCTATAGTAGTCAATGGCCTTGACTTGAAATATAATTTTAAAGAGGACGAGGTTAATTAAAAAAAATCCACATTGAATTACAGACCAAAGATCTCTTAAAAAAAAACCATGGCAACAATTACACATTGAACTTGAAATATGGCAAAAATCCATGGCAAAAATTCATAAAATCTGATGTTTCATAAAATCTGATGTTTCGTAAAAATCCATCAAATCTGAACTTTAAATATGGCAAAAACCATGGCAAAAATCCATAAATCCACATTGAACTTGAAATATGATGTTTCTGATGATTTGCTCTATTCTTGCAGGTTCTTTTATGCCTTGCTCTTGCTGTTTAATATGTATTGTTTAGTTAAAAAAGGAATGAATAGGAAATATATCAAAAGCATCATATGGAATCTATGTAATTAATCATACACGGCAACAATTACTTCAAATTTTATGACATCGTTTACGTGGTGTTTTGAATAAATAAAAAATTATGACATACATTAATAAATTTATTTTTATCTGTTAATTATCTAACAAATATAAATCATTACGTTCCATTTAATAAAATTGTGATTACATGATTACTTATCACATTAATAATGCCAATACAAGTAACCAATACAAGTTAGATGTAATATTTTTAAATAATAAAACCAATAGATGAAACCTACTAATACAGAACCTTTCAAGACAATCTATTAGTTGTTTGAAATAAAATCTGTTGTTGAAGATCTTCGTAGTACGCCCTTTGCATAGGATTTAAAATTGTCATGTCCATTGACATTATTTTATGATCTTCATTTCGTTGTTCTCTTTCATTCATCATAGATAGGAGTTTTAGTTGTTCCTCCCTATTTTCGGCCCTTCTTCGATGCTCTGCAGCCTTCTGCTCATGATCTATCGCCTTTTGTTCATCTCGCTCAATAGTTCTAGCGGAGATAGTTGATAACACTTTAACAATTTTGGATTGGTTGGCAGCCATTTCATCAAATCTACTATCGTGCGTTGTTTGATTCTTCAACTTCTCTTTTGCTGCCTTAGTACCAATTGGTCATGTTGATGTATTAGATGGTTGTCCATGCACCACATTATTCTGGTTGGATTGAAATGCCTCATGTTCAGTTGGTGGATTCGAACATGGATCAGCATGTTGCGTGCTTCTTTTAGGTTGTGATCGAAATTCATCCCACTTACAACTTTGGCGCAAAATATTCCAACATGTATCAAATGTGAAGTGTTTTTTCTGTATTGCATGATACATCCGCTTCGCTTCAGCGACCTACAAAAAAAAAATTACAAACATTTCAATAACAAGTATACATTTAGAAAAGAAAATTGATATTTAATAACACAAATAAATTTTACCATGTCTGCCTCAGTTGTTCCACTTTGTTGCCTCAGTTGAATTTGTTCAAGAAAACCACAGAAT